GAAAGGGCTGGAGCACCCTTAAGGAGGAGGGACTATAATCGTGACAGTGTATACAGTATATTGTATGGAAAAAGAGTTAAAATGGGCGAGAAAGAAAAATAAATAAAAAATCAATACCAGAATATACCGTATAGGTGTTTTGATTAGATTAGTGAATAGTAAGGGACTAAAAGTGTTTAAGCAAAAGAGCTAGGCTTTTTGCTTTCTGCTTTGTTTGGTCTTTTTGTGTTGACATCAGTGTAAACAAATGGACCCCTGCACCAAACATAAACATCTCCAATGTATTGTATCTTATGGCTGAGACCCAGCATGAAGAGTCAGACTGTTGTAACCATCAGCCCAAAATCACCATAAGTGTTTAAAAATGTCTATGTTCTAATGCAGGGGAAAAAAAAAACAGCTTTAGCACTTGAGAGATCTTTGAGTTTGCTGCTCCCAAGAGATGTCATAAGACATTATTCAGTATAACCCTCTAGAAATTCCAGCAATATTAAATTAATGTAATTCTTCTCATGTCATAAAACAGGAATTCTGTTGTATGCTCTGTCTTATATAAGCCACCTATGCTAATTTCTTGAAATGTCATTATTGAAACTCAAAACTAACATTTTATTCCACATTTAGATTGTTCTGTCATTCTGTCATCACTCCACCTCAAACTTGTGTTATATTTCACTGCATTAAGGTTATCCAACAATATTGCATATTTAAAAACCTGATGTGGAAGAGGGTTTCTAAACATTCAAATTAACATTTGATGTTTATCATTATTTTATTCTTTGGTCAGAGATCCACATATTACATCTAGGGATTTAAAAACAAACTTAACAAATCTTCAAAACTGTTCAGCATCGTAAAAGCCTTTGAAACAAATATTTTGATTTCCAGCCTTTGTCTCTAAACTTAATTTGTCTGCTTTCCTACAGAAATAAGGGGAAAAAATGGTCGCAATTTTATTCCTTACAGCTTGTTCTTGAATTGCTTGACAGATGAGCCAAACAGACATTGTCAGAACCAGTGGCTATATGCCCTGCGTTGTAGCTTTATCATTTAGTTTGCCACTGTCTATAAGACATGTATTAATAGTTATTTTTCTAAATCCTACCTCACCACACATACATCTTTTAAAGGGTTATGGCACAAAAAGGACAGTTTACCATTCCAAGGTCCTCTAAAAACCCTTTTGTGTAAGTAACAAACTGATAGTAACATATACAGTAACACTTTCAACACTGTATTACAGTATCTGGTAGATATTTAGGATATGTCTGGCCTACTCCTGGAGTCACAATTATAACTACATACAGTACAGTATAGAAAACCTATTTTCATGCAAAATATGAAAGAAGAACTTACAAAATGAATCAATCTTTATTAACCTTTCAAAACAAGATGGTTTTGCTGGCATTTTAATGCAAACAGATGTACACACTCTAGGCACTCTGGCACACAACCTTAGCAGTTTACTACTGTCTCTTTTTGTTCTGTCAGTCCTAATTGTAGTCTAAACCATACTATATTTTATGCTATTTGTAATTTTGATTGACTCATTCATTTTTTTCAACTTATGCAGTCATGCAATTGAGTCTCATTCTATAAGTTTTAGCAAAACTTGTATGGAACAGAACAAGCTTGTTTTTGCCATTTTTACAGTACATACAGTACCTGCTACTAATTACAAAATGTTTTGAAGGATATTCCACGGTGCAAAGAAATCTTACACTGCAAGTTTGATAATCATTTTCCATGATACATGTGACATACTTTAGTGAAACAATCATTTACAGTGTATATATATAAAAAAACAATCTAAACTAAAAGATAAGTTTAAAGTGTAAGTGTGATGTTCTCAACAGAGAACCTTTCACTTAGTGGGATTTCTGCCAGGACTTTTCATTTTCAGTGCATCTGAAAATGATGTAATCAGCATGATTTTCCTACTGTACATAGACAAGCACTGATGCAGTGAAGAGAGAGTTACTGGCATTGGTTCCAATGTATTTTACTTTTCCTACACCAATTATACTTCATACACCAATAAAACCTCCCCAAAGCACTGTGATTTGTAGTATGTTCTATGTACTGTATCTGTTTCTTAGGTTTTGTCTCACTAACTGTTCTTATTATGGACATTTGCAATGTTTTCTAGAATATCCATCATGGCAGGCTCTTATTCAGGCTCAAAGAAGTCTATTTTGTTTTCATATACAGTAATACTACAAAAATACTGTAGTTTCATACATGTTATAGTTAAGAGATTTTGATTATAGGATTTCATTGTAATTTATTCCCAATATAAAATACTTATTAATTTAAGGTGGGTAGCTGCGTCAGCATGCGTAGGCTGCAAAGGAACAAGTAATAGGTTTATTCCATGCTGAAAAAAAGAAGAAAGAGAACACAACGTTTCGGCCGTGAAGCCTTCTTCAGGTGTGACACCTGACACACCTGAAGGTGTCACACTTCAGGTGACACACCTAAAGAAGGCTCCACGGCCGAAACGTTGTGTTCTCTTTCTTCTTTTTTTCAGCATGTAATAAACCTATTACTTGTTCCTTATTAATTTAATACCCTTATTATTTACCCTCTAGAATGTTATTTACAGAATATAAGAAATGCCTATCTATTTACCTTGTTTGGCTACAAGCTAATTGATCCCAGGACAACAAGGCTTTTACAGCATGTCTGGGTAACTTGCTCCAAACCTAGTGTAAAGACGTGTCTCCTGTTCCAATTTGTAAGTGCACTTCTCTATAGCTTCCATTTCTGTCCTCTGGTTTATGTTTCAGGGTCAATTCTGAAGATTCCATGGGGCTGGTTTTGACAGTTTATTTGAGGATTTTGAATACCGCAATAAGTTACCCTCATAGTCTCCTGTTCAAGACTAAAAAAATATTTTCACCTTTCAGAGTAAGCCATTCCACTGACGCCACAAAAGTGACTGATTCAGGTGCTGCCTTATCTTTTTTGTAACATTCTAAATGGGGTCATACTAGTGCATTGTAGAGTCCTTTGCAGCTTTTATAATGTTTGCAAATCCTCCTATCTTGGTATCATCTGTGCTCTTAAAACCGTGAAAACCTTATTCTCATTCAGCTTTTTTCCTCAGCTTCTTTTGTTTTCACAGGAACCAGTTTTGTGAATCCATTCTCTTTTACTTTACATTTTGTTGTAGGTGAAATCCCAACTTTTCCTTACAATTTCTCTCAAACTATTTTTCCTTCTTATTACTATACTAAACTATATAGTAATTACTATACTAAAAATTACTATAAATAAACAATCATTACATTCTGTAAACCCACTTATTATACTCTGCTCCTATACTTTCTGTCATTCTTCCCTTTCAGAAGAACTGGGCAATCAAATTTTACATTGTACTTCAAAGTTTCACAGATAGTGAACCCTGATATAAGACTAGTTATTAAAACTGCATTTTAAAGTGATTTAGTAAGTAGAATTCCACCAAAATCTACAAATTGTATTTTCTTTAGAAAGGGAAATTAAATAGATGTGCATAGAGGTACTGTATGTGCATTTATTTGTAATATCTAAACAATTGATCAAAGTCACTCTAATTTGGAAGATTGGACGTTATCAATTTCTAACCTGGCTGCAATACCACCATGATCTCATCAGAACGTGGAAGCTGTGCAAGGCTAGGTCACATCACATCAGTCCTGGGATGGGAGACTAGGTTGCTACAGCAGGAAGTGTTGGTATACCAGTAAACAGAACTTTTCTCTCTGAACCAGAATGGTGACTGGGGACACTGTACACTATAGGAAGTGAGACATTAAAACTGAAGTCCTATTGGGTCATTAGAGAGCCCATGGCACATTTTGAAAGAATAAGGGTATTTGAGAAGGCACCATGTAAATTTATGAATTACTGAATAAATGAAAGTATTAACTTTATCATTTTTATTAGTGGCTTATTATCAAGTTGGCACCATCTATTGGTTTAATACTTTCACAGCCTGCAATATTAACTAAAGAGGCTTTCACAATTCCTCATTTTTAAAACTTTTGTTCACAATATTTAAGATGATATAACCCAACTATACTGTGTAATTCATTCACCTGAAACATCTTGGTCAACTGCACTAAACAAGAAGTCAGTGATTTAAATTTGGACTCAAAGGTGGAATAAGTCTCAATATAAATCAATGGGTAACTTACATTACAGAAGTAAATCACCTTTAAAAGCTCTAGTTTATGTCTGCCACCCCTGTTCGCATTTCTAGACTGGGGTCCATGCACACTGTTATGTTAAGAAATGATTTACTATTGGCAGTGCACAAAATTCTCTGCATAACTCATCCATTCATTAGTGTTTGACACCTAACTCATATTAGAAATGGCTGACAAATGAGGTTAGCTAGCTAAGAAATTATCGAGATGGAACAGATAATTTATCAGCCAGATCCATATTTGTAGTGGCACAATCCCATAATCATTTTTCTCTGCAGAAGAAATGTATATTTCTGTATGTAAATGTATGTTCTCAAAATAATGCTTTAAAAAACCAATTCTCACATGACTGCAAAAAAAAACAGTGTTCTTTAAATACTACCCTGGTTTACATTACTCATGAGCAACCCGGGATTCCATTTTGATCTCTTCTAGAACTTAAATGTTGTTGATGACATGCATATTTTCCATCAGTCACATTTACTGTCTCAAAAATAATTGCTCTGTAGAGGATGTTTTCCCCATTCATCTTAGATGAAGTGCAAAACATATCCAGTGCTATGACTGAAGATGAGGAATCACATTTACAAATGAAACCTGTGGGTGTGTACTAGTACGTAGTATGGAATTATTGTCATTTGTTCAAGTGAAGACACAGAAATCTCAATAGCAAGTACAGTTTCCAGTACTTATCTATGGTCTAAAAAAGAAAATTAAATGTAAAATAAAAGGTTTTTGTTATGTAATACATAAAAAGCATTGGATAATCTATCCATCCATCCATTTAGATTTTTAGATTGATTTTACCTTAATGGCAGTTGAGGCAATCTGAATGTGGTGAAGCTTGTGAAGTGTACTTTCCCTGTCAATAAAATAAGAGGCTGCAAGCTGGTGAAGTGTCTCAAGAGTCACTGCAGTACTGTTGGAGTCCCCTACATCCAATTTCTTACTCAGTTTTCTCTTATCCACAAATATAGTCAAAGATTCTTCACCTGCAAAATCAAATGATCAATTAGTTCCTGAAATGTACCATATGCTGTATATAGCATTACTTTTAATATTGGTATTGTAATTATACCAAGAGGCAATAAAATGCAAGAACATGTTTTAAAGAAAAAAAATGTTCAATGGGTTTTCAATGGCTTTTGCCTCCATACTGAATTAAAATTCCAGGTTAGAGGAGTGTTTTTCCATTTGAAATGCCATAGTTCAGACACTATGTGCAAAGGTTGTTAAAATGCACATTCACTGTGCACAACCCAGCCCTACGAAAGCACTGCATTGTCTTCCAGACACCACAATTACCAAATATTAGAAGGACTAGACACCTGGAGTGTTCATGAATGTGGCAGTAGTTGGTTGTATTTCTGTGTGCACTAATCAGCCATTAATCTGTCAGACTGCATTGCAATGACTGATAGCATTAGCGATTACCTTGCTATGTGTCACCCCATGTGTCAGCATAACAAGGTAATATGGTTTCAATTGGCCAAATCAAGAGGAAATGCTGTCATCAGGATTTGAAACAGGCCAATTAGTGACAGAACAGTTTGTGTATGGAATGCAGGTAGAACTCTAAGACTCAGTTCTTGAGAAAAGTGTGAGGCTGGGACATTTAGCTGACTGAAACCAGGATTCCCTAAGCATAACTAGACAGACTCCCTAAGCAACCTAGGTAGTTTTGGCTTTCAGCAAAACAGTGAGTCATGTGATTTTCTAAGCACGTGCTGTCTTGTAGTGACCAGTACCTCTAATCAGACCTAACCCTCCTGTAGGTCAGGACCTTGAAATATGGAAAAAGAAAATTGCCTAAATAAGTGGCAGATTAAAGTAACCTGACTGCCTGTTCCTCCGTCTTATGTATACAATGACTATGCTGTGAGAACAGAATTTTAAATTCGGCAGATCCTAAATATGACAACAAAATACGCTTGTCCAAAGACATCTAGAAGACTATACAGTAGTTCTTGGTTCTTTAAGCCTTACTGTCATTGTAGCCTCAAGATGTCATTTTCTCTGAACTGAGGATTAATATGATACCAATTCAACCCCTTTGCACAGAGCTGTAATGCTGAAACGTATTTATTTAGTGGAGGAGGCATGATGGTGTGGGGTGTAATTAATGTTCAGTTTTAATCAAGGTACAAGGTACAGGGCTGTTCTATAGCCTAATTCAATGTGGAGAACATTTTATGACTAGTGCTCCCTTCATTATTCATGCAACTTTGGAGACATGTACAGTAAAGTTTCCTAAAAAAAAAAACTTTCACCACACATGGCCAAGGTTACATAGGCATTATTCAAACACAATTTTTAAGTACTGGATTTAAGGATTGGATTTACATAAACCATGTAGAAATTAAACTTAACACTAAGTGAGATTTGTTGTGCTTTGATGCTTTTGACAGTAGCATACACAATCACAGTCCATCACAACCTTGCAGAATTAGCATTTGTGAGACATCTGTGTTACCGAATGTCTTTCAGGCATTTTTTCAGGTTACAGGGTGTATATCTAGGTTTCAGTATTTAAGTTATTTGTTATTCCACAGCCAATCCATGCCATGGTTTACTATCATTGTTTTCCCTATTTTTTAAAATTAATATATGCAATGACATATGTCATATGAACCTTCAATGAAATCAGAAAATGGCACTTGTTCAACTACATGTTTGTTGCCTCTCAATATAATTGAAGTATTTGCCACACATTATGAACAACAAATTTAGAGTTTTCTACCTCCCAATGTGGATGACATCAAAAAATGTGTTCCATATTTCTTGATAATATTTTCAGTGATCCTTTTGAGACTTGGTCTGCGTCCCAGTAGCCGGATATTCTGCATGAACTCTGGATCCAGAGGCAAAGAAAGGCCATTGTAGTCTTTCCTTTCAAGTGCCAGACTGTTGACTTTCCACCGACCAAATTCTCTAGAAATGAGATATTGATAAATATTAGAAATTAGAAACAGATAAATATATATACTGTATATAAGAAGGCTTAATGCATGTTTTTTTATTTTGAGTAAATATATAACATTCCTGTTTTTTACTTAAAATCAAAATTACAGCTTCCATAATAACATAATTACAAATTATAAATCTATTTTTTTTACATACTATCGATAAAAATGTCTTAATGTGCACTTCATTACAAAAATGTGAACAAGTAAATGTAGAGTTCACCACCTCCATATACTATTAACAAACCACCACTATCCCAGGTATTCATTGTAATTATACCTCAAAATTTCTGTTTTTACCAAAAGATCTGTATTTTTTCTTAAACCAGTTGACTAAAATCACCAAACTGCAAAAACTAACTTAAACCCATTTCTTGTTAAAATTAAATAAATAAACATGTGTGACAAACTGTACTTTTACACTTTTACAATTAAGTGAGGCAGAAGAATGACCTCTGTTGCTTAAGACTGAGTTAGTTGAAACTGATTATCATTTCAATCAAAATATCATGCTGCTCCAATCCAAGAATAATGAAGTAACAAACCCATCACCTATTGGATAATTACAAAATATCCACTGATAATGATGGACAATTACAGCCATTATACAACTTGTGTGTAAAGATAAAGGTAATTATAACTGATTTACATATCAGTACATAATAAATCAAAACTGTAAATATGGTATAGTTGTAGCATTTGTTATACAGTTCTTGAAACATGAATACATACTATAAGCAAATTGTATACATACAGTATGCATTGCAAATATGTGAACTTCATATATGCAGGTGTCAAAAGGTAATACAGTACATGGACATCAACAAGTGAAATACAATGAGCCTTACTATAAATCTTAAAGAATGTAATTGCAGTTTTATTCATGTAACTAAGATATTAAGATATAGTTTCAGTGAAATTATTTAAATCCACTCACATTTAAACATACTTAACCAAATTAGAATATTAGAATAGAACAAACAGAATGCTCAATTTGAGTGATGTACTGAAAGAATTGCTGGCCTTTGCCCACTGATTTCTCAAAACCCCAATAATAAGCATTAAATGCTATAAAGCACTTTTTTCCAAATAAACAAATGCCACAGCATGGCAAAGAAGTCCACAGAGAAAAATAATATTCATAAACTACAGTATTGAAGCTCTGAAGCTGGGGTCTCTCTCCAGTAAAGTAATTATGATGACAAAAGGAGACCTGGTACTGTAGATGTGCACATACTACGTATAAAATTATTTTAGAGGAGAAAAAGCCCAGATATGTAATGGAAGAGGAGAAAAAAAGTTGTAAACGTGGCTACTTCAGAAAAGCAAGACTAAAAGACTAGCTGAACAAAGTGCTGCTAGTGGTACTGAAAAATGCAAGGGTCTAGGCAAATTAACCAATAAAGAGTAAATGTTTGGTTAATTCATTAACCAATAAATGTAGTGAATGAAGGGGGTACAACAAAATATTGAAACAAAGCAATATAATTTTAGTATCATGAAGATAATGTTGTGTGTCACTTATATGTATTTTTTACATAATTATAAAGCTGTTTATGAGTGGTACAGAGGTCATCAACTGCTTACAAGGAAATTGTCTGCTGATTAAGTTACTCTTAATCAAAAGCAACAAACACTTCTATTTAAAAACACTTGGAAAATGAATAATTGTTGACGCACTAACAATGGTGCCATGCTGTTGCATTTGTTGATCATTTGTTGATCATTTGTTGATTTTTGTTTTTAATAACAAAAATGGCTTGAAAATGTTCAAAAATTGAATATTATCTAAAAAAACAGTTCATCAAGTTTAAATGTAGTACAATTACACAGTATCGGTAACCATAAAAAAAGTAAAATCAGAATCAGTCAGAAACAAACACATTAGGAAGAAGTAACGAAAACCACTGAAACGTGTTATATTTCAAGAATGATAGAATTAAATATCTCACTTATGCTATAACCCTTTTTGTAATTAATCACAGCTCCATTCAACCAAGTCACACAATTATGTACATCTTCTGATTACTGTATGTGTCATCTACATTTAATGTTTTTACAATAAGATATTATAAATCTGCCTCCGCTGTACATAAATTGCTCTTTTAGTCTTTTAGTCATTTTTCCTCAAAAGTCTAAAAGCATTTTTTTTATTTAGAAAGTGTTCCACTCAATGATTTTATGAAAAAAGACAGTGGATGCTCACTAAAAGCATACATACAACACCATGGCACATAACTTAAGGGAACTGTCACAGGGGGTTTGATTCAATGATTTTTATGTGCATGCTGTATTTTAGCATTCTGGTATCAGGAAAACCATTGCTGAGTTCCAGAAATTGACTGACAGGCATTAAAAATGCAATAAACGAGTACTGGAACCAGTAGCACTGGTTGGTATTGTTATGCTTCTCAGTATAAACTGTATGAATAATAAAAGTTATAAAACACCATATACCATGAAACTTAAGGCCACATTGCAGCAGCACTGAATAGAATGTGTCAATGTCCATGACCTCACCAGAAGAATTACTGTAACACTTGAAAACTGCTGTTTCTCAATAGGTATAACACCTCCATCAGCTGCCACGTCAAATTTTGTGCACTTATCTTGCATATTGCAGGATTATGACCATACTTCATGGATTCTTCTTGACCCCTCAGCTCAAATACCTTTGACAACCCTTGTGCAACAGGCATGGAATTTAACCTTGAGAAAGGACTCCCACCAGATTCAACGTTTGGTTGACATCATATAAATGCAAAAGGGTATTCAGCTTTTAATTAGTAGAGGATGACCTGTTTTACTATCCTCTTTCATTCACCTGAAGGAGAATTTTATACCAATAAATATAAAATAATCCTTTGTATTTATCAAGCCTATATACTGCTCCATTTATGTTGTCCTGTAAGTAGAAAAACTGACTTTGGATATTAAAAAAAATATTAAAGCCATATTTAGTGTTACCAGTTTCATTTCAGCATGCCTGTAATGTGACTAAAATATTTTGATGCCGCTTCATTTTTTATACATTCTTAATTTCAAATATTTCTCTCCACCAGAGGGCGCTCATGTACTGTACAGCAGGACTGGTTCTATTCTGTTGCACCAGACAAAAGGCCAACTGAGCAACTGTACATATTCACAGATGTAAAAGGGTTGTAAACAACTTCAGTCTTGTATAGACAATATACTGGCAGTCCTATATGGCTTTCATAAACTCAGACTTGCTGCAATTAAGGATTTGTGTAGGTAAATGTAAAAGTACATCTTACTGTAACTGTACCTGTAGTTGAGCATCAATTTCTTTTCAATAATGTAGAATACTCTTCTGCTACAATAAAGGAATTTTTCAACCAAACCTGCACCTATTGTTTTATTACATTTATGTATGATACTGGTATGCTGTATTGGACAATAATTTAAAGTCACTTTTTTTCCAGACAAAATAATTGAAATCAAGTGAAGTTAATTATTGTTTAAAACTGAGAAAGTTGAGTGACAAACGATACAATCATGATGGTTAGGTAACTCACCTGTAAATCTTGTATTTGGTCGTAAATCCCTGTTGGTACCTTTCCAGAAATTCAGTGAATTCTTGTGAATGATGAAAAGGCCCTTTATCAGAAAGGAGCCACCCCAAGGATCCAGCAACATTACTGGAACTTGCTGCAATAGCTAAAACCCAGCAATGGAGGCTTAGTGTAATGCACTCCCATAGAAGCATTAGAAATACCAGTTTAAAAACAATATACCAGCAGGTCATGCTCCACCCTGGGATTCCACATTCTCTCAAAACGTCTCCTATTACCTATGATGATAAAAAAAACTCATTATTACTCTTCAAAATAAAACAGTTGTCTAATGTTTGTAGCACTCCAAAAAAAGACTATTGTAGCATCCAGGCTTCAGATGCCATAGTGTTGTAGTATTTATCCTTTTATATTTTTATTTTAGATTAATAGTTTGGGGGGTTTTCCCCGATTAGAAAAAAAATCGTCATTAGTACGTTATTTTTCACTCTCTCTACCAACAGCGCTTCATCGGTTAAGCACTTTTAGGAGTTTTTACGGCTTATTCATACTCTTAAAGAATAGACTACAGTACTAAAGATGAGTAAAAAAAAGTGAGTAAACAAAAATGATCCGCAAATGCGCGTTGTTATATAAGCGCTATCGTTATTACTATACAATTTTAAATGCACTCAAGAAGGCTTATCCATTTTACCTCAAATGACAGTGTAATCTTTTTTGCAGTATAGTTTATGTTACTGTGCATATACAGCTCTTACCTCATTCGGAAGCAGTTTCTTCATATACTTTAAGGAAGTTTAGTAAAAACAATGAGAATGCGTTTTACCACTAACATCGTTACTATAACTAAGACCATGCATTGCTGTAAAACGCACTTCAAAGTGACTTCACGGAGCACACACATACGATTATTTGTAATGTATCAGAACAGTTTAGTTTTAAAACATAGAAAACATTAAAACAAAAAAAAAAGCTGCAAAAGTATTTTAAAGATGTCTTCGGAATGCCTGCTCAATCCGCTTGTATTTCCAAATTTTCATAGGTATTCCCCTGCTGACAAATTCATCTATGCAACATCCATAAACGTAGGTGCAACACACCTGCAGTTCATTGTCTCACAGAAGAGCTGAATATAATTCCTTTATAGTAGAACTTTTGATGATACAAGAATTAATATTAGGCTCAATTCCATTCGATTTAGATTAAGACCAATAAATGCTACTTCATGCTGTCTTAAACAGAAACTAACAATTAATGTCTTGATCCTTCACAGTAGTCTGAAAGCTTTTACTGCAGCTGCAAAAAAAAAAAACCTACTCCTGTGACAGTGCTCTCCGCGGCATGTGCTTCTGCTGCTGCTGGCTTGCTTTTTTTGCACTGTCAAACTTCCAATTTATTCCAGAGCTCTCAGTCCTATTGGCTGAGAAAAAAAAAGAGAAGGAGGGCTTTTATGTCATATCAGGTTGTTTATAAGCAGGTGGCAAGCGGGGTTGATGGTTTCTCTTAATTTTAAAACTAAGATTGAAAACTACCTACTGTAGAACAACAAAAACAAAAACCTACAGTATTGCAGCGATCTGTTTAATGAATATTAAACACCCATTTAAAATGCATATTGACGTATTTTGCAGAACTATTATTAATAAAATTGTACCTCAAATATGGGTTTTATTAGAACAGGGATACATAAATAATACCTTTCACTGCACTTCTAAAAAGAAACGAGTATTTTTTAGAAAACGACATCAGAATGGAGCACAAAGCGTCCTGGTAAATTCCATTAAAAGAAAATAAGATGAAACTTCAGTATCTAGGGAAATTAGTTCACTTTCCCCATCCCCGTTGTATACTGTATTATTTTGTAATCAGCACAAGGTTTGGAAGACAAAATTACATTAAATACCATTCAATTAGTTGTACTGTAATGACATACGTCTACGATTAATTAAAAAATGTTTCACATTTCAGAGTTAAAACAGTTGCTTTTGGAATGAGGCAGATTAAAACTGACGCACACTGTCAAGTCAGGGATTTGCTTGCTTTGCTGCACAAAACACAACCATCCCTGGGCATAAGTGCAAAGAACCTTAAGTAATATAGGGACAGTTTCCATTGACATCATCTCAGGACCAAGGTAATGTTTTAATATTACTGTTTTGCTAGGCGACACGCCATTGTTCTCCTGCAACACAATTTGCTAAAGTCTTATTCTGTGTCGTATTACATATTGCGACCAACATCTGTTTTCTCAGTGTTCCTTCAAACAAATGTGGAAACAATGGTGTCTGGGGGGAAATGGAGGTGAGAAGAAGTACCAAACTGTTCAGTCTGAATACACAATTATGAGGATCTTACTCGACCACAGGAAAGGCAAGACTATTGATTATCCATTGATTGCTGCAGACTGACAGCGAAAGGAACAGAAGTAAATGATATAATCATTGGAAGAAAATCAAAGCAAGTGTCCAAACAAGATTTTAATCTGCAAAGAAATAAATGGCTGATGGGACTGAACAATTTATTATGAGCAAGCCAGTTGGGTGGAATGGGAATTGTGTGCTAATTTTGTAACTTATTTCCTATGCTGATGCTGAAATGGGGATGGCTGGTTAATTGGAAACACTGAAAGGAACAACATTTTGTCATCACCGTTTACTATCCCAGAGATTCAAAGTAATTCTGAAAAGTAAATGTTCACATAGGCGATAGGCTGTTCATTTTTTGTATTTTGGGGAAAGCATAGTGATAATAATTTAACCAGCCTGCAGCTTGACAGTTGCTTTAGAACTTAGTGAAGGAAAATATTTTAATCATTGAAAGCATTCCCTTGTTATATTTATCTGAAACAATTGATTGTTACAAAATATATCAATGTTTATAACCATGCTAATAGAAGTTTTTTTTTTACTTTATTAGTATACAGAAAGAAACATTATACACTTATATTTGAATAATGTATGAAAACGTAGTTCTTCAATTAGTACTCTACAGATTTATAAACGACAAGAATCTCCACAGTCACCTTCTTCATAGGATCACTTGATGGCCAATACAATTTTGTCATCTTGGTTCTGGCATTTTTTAAACAACACAGCATTGCTGAGTGCTACATCACCATACCATTTTTTAGGCTATTAATTATTATTGGCTGCCAAATATTTCAAGCTTTTCTGTGCATGTCACAGATTTCCCTGGTTCTGGAATATATCACCTACGCTTTAATGCATCCAAAATAATGACATCCTTCTGTTTTTTCTTGCTTAGACATATGCACACAACACTAATAAGCAACTTCAGAGTGAAAAATAAAGACTACTTGGCTTTCAGTTGTCAGAAAACATCCTCTGCATTTCTTTCACTGTAGTAGATTACCCTCTATGATTAAGCATTGTGCTTTTAACTGTAATTATGTTTTATTATAATACTTAATATACTTTGTATCAGGTTATTATACTGTGTATGCCTTAGCATGTTAAATACATTGTATTTAAGATTTAGCAGATTATTTTAGTCAGTTCTGGTTTTATTACAGAATATATTTTATTATGATAATAAGAACAATTCTGGAAGGCTACATTGCACTTTTTTAAATTCATTTCTAAGTAAAGTTGTATCTACAAGAAGTTTTAACAAGTTTAATGCCAAAAAGGAAATGTAATGAAAATGTGATGGGAGGAGAAGGATATTTAGATAGAGCTGTATCTGAGCCAATATTTCACTAGTTGAGTAACTTTTTGCATTCCAAATGCCCTCAGCTCTGTATAGCAGGCTGTGCAGTCTAATTAGTTGTTAAAAGTATATATACAGTATGTGTTACATAACCAACAAAAATAGTATTTATAATAATCAGGCTTTTAAATTGTACAGTTAAATCTCCTCTGAAATCTTTTATACAGACAATTTGGGTATGAATGTTAATTATATTTTGTGGTACCAAATGTGATACAACAAATGTGGTATCTGGAACCATCTTATGACTTCTGATTTTGTTATTTGTGCATACAGAGTTAGCAGCCATAGACAGTAAATACAGTAGCTAACTGTGACCACTGAAACTGTTGCATAAGAACATAAGAACAATTACAAGCAAGAGGAAGCCATTTAGCCCTTTATCCCTTTTGATAGTAGCTTATTGATTCAAGGATTGCATTGAACTGTTTCATGAAAGGAAGCCATCATATCGGCTTCAATAATATGTTTGGGGAAGTTGCTCTATACTCCCACAGCCCTTAGCTTAGAGAACCGCCTTGTGTACCCAGTTTTCAATGCACTTCCATGTGGTTTCTACTTGTGTTCTTTAGTTTTCACCACTTATTCTGAAGAAGTCCTCAGCACTGACTTTATCTTTGAGGATTTAGAATATTTGTATTAGGTCCCCTCTTAGACTTCTCTGTTCAAGATTAAAAAGATTTGGTTCTTTTGCAGTAGCTTTTCATTGTAGAACATTCAAATCTAGGAACTGATTTCACAGCAGCAATATCTATTTTGAAACAGGGTGATGATGAATGTCCTCAATATTCTTAATTTGGTCTTTCACAATTTTAACATAACATTTATTGATTTGAAATCTACACCTTTGGCTTTACATCCAAACATTTTGTCTCCCCTCATGTTTCTTACCCACATTCACTACAACATGATAAAAATGTGTCATCATAAACTTTTTGTTTCTACAACGTCAGATAGTCTGGTGTTATCTGCAAACCAGAATCATTGATATAAAGTAAATTATGAAGAGCAATGGTCACAGTACTGAGCCGTGTGGTACTCCACTAATTTCATTACTCCAATTTGAGTATCCCCTCTTATCTATACTGTTTTTTAATTATTATCCAGTCCTAAATCTAAACACTCATGGTTTCCTGAATGTCTACCATTTGCAGTTTAAGAATTTTTATGTGGAACCTTATCAAAAGCCTTCTGAAAATCAAATAACCCATATCATATGACCTGTGTGTAGCCACTACTTTGACAAACTTGTAAGACAAGACCTACCTTTTCTAAATCCATGTTGACTGTTCCCTAGGATAACATTGCCATAGTGGTGATCCTCTAGTTTTAAGATTTTTTTTTTATACACCACTAGACTTCATCATTGATTAACAAAAGTACAGATTTGTAGAAAGTCACAAGAGGACAGGGCAATAAAGTCCAGTTATGGTAATAAGCATAACGGTATTGTCAAACAGCCGTAATGAATAATTCGTTCCTTGCCACATGAACAAAAACATAATAAAATAGAATTGCTGTATAATTTAAAGATAATGTTTTTTTAAAAGTCAGTGTCAGGCATAGTTGCTCTAATTTCTAATTTTTCTACTATTACAAAAATCCACATTTCATTTTTTGTACCATTACGGGAATCATAATAGGCCGTTTAGTCAAAAGCACCATTTTATGATCTTGGTTACAGAGATACCTTTATGTAGTGTGTAATGTTGTTTGTAAGATAAAGCCTCTGCAAATGTAATTTTGAACAATGAACAAAAACTATTTCATTCATGGATGACATTAAACATTTTCATTTTTCTCCTCTCCTTCTAGATGTTGTTTGAAAGGAGTCATTCTCTTTAAATGACAAAATTATTATATTTCTATATGATGACAGATATTATAAATATATCACTTCAAATTTACTTTATTTTGGTCAAAAACAAGTACTGTACTTTTCAACTTGCAGGCAAACCAACACTTTTGGCACAGTTTGCTGGTTTTGGAGGTGCTTGTATGCTAAGGTTCAGAGAACCTCGATTCAAAACTCTGTGCAGGACATAAACTTTCAGCTTCATTACAATTGAGGGAAAGGTGTTTCATAGATACATTAATTTAGTTATCATAATTACTTTTGCCGTTTAAGAAGATTTATTTACTATTTTATATACATACTGTAATTAATTCAAATTGGCTGATTTGAATTTATGTTAATTAATTTGAGTTCATTTTAAAATGCTCTTTAAACATTTTTTTTTTTGCTCTGTCATTCTGTATGTGAGGTCTTACAACAAAACTGGTTAGGTAAGACATTTCCTAACATTAGAGGACTTAGAACTACATATTAAATTTTAAAAGAGTACCCATCCTCAATATACCCCATCATTTACTTTTAATTTAGACATTACCGTTACAAAACCAGAGCTCCATTTTTTCCTCAAACAAATACATTTATGAATGTTGTGCGGGTTTTGGAACTGGTTAACCTTAGAGTATTATTCACCTCATAACAAGCAATATATTACTTCAAGGCTTTAAGGCATTGTTTCTTAATTTGCATAAGCCTTACTGCCAGTAGATTTATAAAAGCGACCCACTACAGAACGCAGAAGTAGGAAACACATCACTTTTCTAT